AAGCCTCTGGCATGCAGAGTTTCTGCATAAAATCTGAGATACCTCACGGGAGAGAAGCCTTCTTGGAAGGCTCTCACTCCCAGCCTCTCACCCTCGTGTGAGAACATAACATGTCTGTGGCTGGACAGACCTGCTCAATAATTCATTCTTGTCCAAGTCAGCAAGGCACAAGTATTCTAGATTAGTTCTAAACTGAGTAGAATTAAAATTCAGTATCATTTATATTTTAATCTACACAAGTTTTTACGGTCTTGAAAGGAGATAGAAGACATCAAACCACACAGACAAGAACATCAGAAGAAACTATGCTGCAGAAACCAAAAGTTATTTGCCCTCTCTTGTGGTAAGGAAAGATTATTTACATTCAGTATTTCAACTGCTGAGGGTGTTGATAGAGAGAGTCAATAATTCAGATCATCTTCAACAGTGTGTAGAAGTCATGGCTTGTTGATGTCCTCCTTATACTGACAGTATTAGTTTCCATTTTCCAGTGGTCAGCTAATGTTGCTTTCTGATGCAACTTTCTCACTGATGATATGAGCTGTTAACCAGCAAGGCAGCCAAAATTGAATTGTTTCCATGATAAATCCCACCCACATCTGAGATCACACATCACAGCTGGAACCATGATTTTATAACTACTAAAGAGCAGAGACAGCCAAAATGGTGACAAGTTCAGCAGTGTGGTCTCTGTTCTCACAGCAGTATCTGTGCCGAGCCCCAGGCTGCGCAGTGCCACCAGAGAGATGCTCCGGATGAGCTGGCCCTGCCAAGGAGCACAGCTGCTTTAACAGAGCTTCTCCACCACCTTCGTGGGATTAGGGGATAATCCTTTTCCTCAGGGGTCACAGTTCATTTTTTCCATCACAGATGCACTACTGTCAGTCTAAGATGCTGGATCTAAGAACTGCCTCCATCACAGAGCCCACGAGAGTGGACGAAGCACGTACCAGAAATGATAACAGCCCCCAAAACAAAGCTATAATCTAAATTATAGTTTATATCGAGCCATATCACCTTCCTGGCAGTTTGGTTTAACAGCCCCCACGCTTGCAGAACCTCTGCTGAATTGGTAGGATTGGCTGCAGCTGTTTCAATTGACCCCAAAAGACTGAAGAAATAAATCCCATTTGGTTCACTGCAAATCCACACAGATGGAAAGCTGCAGTCCTTATCAACAAGGGGTTTTCCCCAAGATGAACAGGAGTTAAAGCTCATAGATAGAAACAGAAATGAGAGCAGGGGGAAGAAAGGAAAGATTTGGTAACCCTGGGGTGGAAGCTGTCCAGGAGTTTAAGCAACATTACCAGATCTACAAAAGTAAGAGTAGTCTTTAAAATGTGCTCTGGCTAACTTTTCCTCAAATTTTGGCCTCAACTAGGCAGGGACATTCTGGTCCACTGATCCTGCAGGGTACGGTGGGATCCTACAGGTTACCTGAGAAAACAAACACCCTGCAGCCTCTCAAGATGTGCTTCTCCAAGAGAATTGGGGTTTTTTCCCCCCCCCCACACATAGAAAGGAGGGGGCACAGAGACCATACTCATCATCCCTCCTTCTAGTATAACAGCAACTCAGATAGAAGCTAGAGGACTTCGCACAGTCTTCCATGTTCCTATGATCATCCTCACTATGCTATTATTATCCTTCCAAACAATTCTAATAATGTTCTTAATAATTTCAAATTACCACCCTCTCTGCAACAGCTCCTACTGCAGCATTACTCCTACAGCTATCTTGCTTCTCCCTTTCCTTCCATACCAAACGTCTAACCCAGCACTGCCCCAAGCCCTCTTCATTTTCTCTCCTGACAGAGGCATAGTACCAGAATTATCTGAAGAAAAACCAAGAGTGATGTCTTACGATGTTAATAAGGATGATTTGGCAGTGAATGTTACTCACTCTTAAGTCAGACCACAACAGGTTTTGTCATAGGATGTCAGGAATCCAGATTGCTACCCAATGCCAAAAAACATCTTAGAGGTTTTTCTCTCCCTCTCAAGGTGGTCTGTCTTTGTAGCTAACTCCATCTGCGTGTCCCACACCACCACAGCACTGAATTTGCAAGCTGCTAACCCCCACATAGGGAGCAGGCAGCGAGGAAGCTGCCTCTCCTTCCAGATACATAAGAACAAGGAGAATCCATGTCCTTGGCCAGGTATCTGCTTTCTCCAATCCTTTTTAAAATTTTAAGACAAATGTCAGTCTGCATCTATTACTAAACACCAGGAAAAAAATGAATGGCTTCTGCTACACATTAGCCTGATTATAAACCACAGGCTGCTAGTGATGGTGACTCATTGCCTTGAAATGATTGTCTAGGAAAGCCAGACACCGGGGTTACTCTCTGACACCGAGCACCACACTTGCTCATGTTCCTTCCCACTAAAGCACCCCCAGGCCCAGCTGAACACAGGATTTCTCAGGCACCCCATCCACACCCCAAAACCCAGCACCCTCAGCTAAGAGGTTCTTTGGAAATGTACACTGCCTTACAAGGTGCTGGGACATTTAACAGCAAGGAGGAACGCAGAGGACAGAGCGTGTCAGATAGATGTCTTGGAGGTGGGACACGGGAAAGGAGTTCTCTTCTGAGAGTAGGCAGCAAAACTCCTGGCACTTGTCACCAAAATCAACTCCTGCCAGGATGCTGGGGAGGATCCTCTTTTGTCTTCTTGTTCCGAAGAGTCTCTAAGGAGCTATGCCCAAACTTTACCAAACACCTCAGCGCCTGGGACACCTTCTGTCTCCATCTCTCCCTTTTTCCCCCTCTCACACACATGCACAGATTTACGAGTACGGGTCCCCTGTGCCAAGATAAACTCCCATCTCCATTTGCTTCCCCTGAGCATGTACCTCCTTGTTCCTCTGACACTGACCTCACCTCAAAAAAAAAAAAAAACAACCCAATTTAAAAAAGGAGAAAGCACACTTATAGAAATGTCCCACACAAAAGATACCCCCAGGGGCTGCAAGCTATAAATCTATCTGCAGAGGGAGGCAGCTCCCCTCCCAGACTGTTGTTCCCTGGACAGGCAGTGCAACCTGTGCCTATCCCATCTTCACAGGTCTCCTCTCCAGCTCCCACAGCCAGAGCAAACACCTGGAACAGGTCCTTCCTTCTTGCAAAGAGCCCTGAGCTACTCTGCAAAAGGACATCAGCCTCTGTTTTGAAAAGATGAGACCACAAAGGCAACATCAGTTACAGCCAAGCCATGTGATGGTTATTATCTCTTTTAAAGGCTAGTCTTTATTCTAAATTAATGTTTGCTTCTGCCCAGGAAGTGCCAGATCTTCTCCCCACCTCTGAACAAGGCCCAGCTCTAACCTCTGCCATTGCAACAGACGTTGGGCAGACAGAGACCGTACACAGCAGCACTCACTTCCCAAGGTCGTTTTCCTCAGTGCTGTTTTCAAAGTGCTGTTGTAACACTGAACAACTTCCACACACAAACACAGGAGCAGAGCGCGCTTGGGAACTCACAGGAGTCATTCATCAAGCACACGGGTGACACAGAAACAAGCCTCCTTAGTATTGTCCTTATATATTTTACATCTCTCTATGTTTTTAAGAGGCCCCGCTCCTTCTCACTGAGTCATAAACAGAAGTTGCTTTCTGTACAAACTCCAGACCCACTCTACATAAGCTCCTTACCACTCATAAACACAGAAAAAACCAACTCGGGGAACATTTCCTCCACCAGTGCCCCGGAATAAAACTGACAGGAGTACTTTACCCAGTTATTCCAGCAGCTCCTATCCACTTCTTCCAGCAGACAAAGAGCTTCAGACACTTCAGTTCAACCCAAGCACCTCCAATTCCTCTCTCTCCTGCTAAAAGCAGCCCAGCAGCTCCTCTCTCTTCAAATCCCCTTCCTGCTAATGAGCATCACCTGAAGGATGATGCCACAACCAAGCAGCACCTGCAAGCAATCCATCGGCACCAAAGTAAAAACAAGGGAATATTCTGACCCGTTTTTGGGCTGCTGCATATATAATACACCCCAAAAGATTTCCAGACAATTTTTACAATATTTGGAGTGTATTATATACTTCTAATCCCTTGAACCAAGTGATTAAAAAAGCAATCCTCAAAATAAATGAAGTTAGATTATCCCAGCACCCACAGTCACCGAGTTGGAAAATAAGAGCCATTTTGACTAAAAGCTCAGAATTAAAATAAATAAAAGACAACCCCAAAGTCCACAACACTTTAATTATTTCACGGCTATCCCATGACTTTGTTTTCTTTTTACTTTAAAGGCTTAGATCCTGTTGTTTATTTCTCTAATGGCTGCAGGCCTCAACAACTGATTACGCAACAGGCGTTTTAAGAAGCCAACCTAGAGTTTGAGGGGAGCCTGCGACAGAACATGCGGGTACCCTGGGTGGCTGAAAGCCAGCGCTTGTCAAGGGACTTGCTGACATCAGGATGTCCCCTCATGCAGAGAGCAGCTTGGACAAGCGGGGTTCCTTTCAAGACCTCAAGCAATTCAGATGTTGATCCCATCAAGTTCCCATATGTCAGAAGCAACACACCATTTAATTTTGTCTCTGTGCCACAAAGTCACTCT